ATAGACAACAGGTATAAAGTTGGATAATAAGTCCAAAGCTGGCTAAATTATATTAGGCATAAAAAGTATAAAAATAAAATGACGATATAAAAATAGGGGAAGCAAGGAGGATAGACACTGCACACTAAAAAGGCTATCTATCTTGAGAGTGTCACTAAACAAAGGAGTGATCATGCAGGAGGTTGGCAGTTACGATGCACGATAGACAGATCGACATGCGTCATTGTTAAACTTGAGCCAAATATTCACGTCTTTTTTGGAGAAGAAACCATTCCCCAACGTAGTATGGTGTAGACAGAACAGAAGCGACAGACTTGCTATATTTCACCGTAACAACACATTTATTACACACAGTAGCATAGAAGCAAAATTGTACATGATAGTTGTTACTCCTCCCCCCCCCTCCGATCTACGATTTTATTTTATTTTTATTGTAATTAATTTTTTTTAGGTAGGTAATAATGGAAATATCCAAAGTAATAAGAGACATCATCTTAGGCACTTCAGATAAGTTGGAAAAATATGAACCCAGGGGAATGGACTAAGACATATTCAAGGTCTTGAAGAAAGTGATGATGAGAAGAATACAGAAAGAAGTCCGACTGAGTCCAGGGAAGTGATTGTATGATGCCTATCTGAAATTAGAGGAGTTAGTGATATTCTTATGCAAGTGTATTGGTGGGATGTTGATAAATACCCCAACCGGAAAAGCTTCTACACCAGGGCCATTGGGAGAAGCAATACGAAGATGAAACAGCATTAAGTGCTGGATCGGTAGTGGTATAAAGGAGTGATGAAATGCGACCTCTAATAAAAATAGACTGCAACGTGTTTCATCAGTAACCATTCCATCTCCCAGAAACTGTGATAGGTATCAGACGAAAGAATGGAACATGCTACCGGAAATGGACAGTGAGCTGAGAAAGTGTGGGCGGAACAGTACTTCCCACATTCGAGATCGTCGAGGAAGCAATCGCAACATAGAAGGGAGGAAAAAGAGAAGTTAGTACCTGAACCAGTCGCATGTGCCGAAACAGTGCTAACAAATGAAACATGTATCTTTAGCAAGAAGTCAGTCCCGAGGAGTGCCAATACCAGCATACTGAGAAAAGAAGGTGAGATCCATTATCTAATAGCAACGAAAGAGGATTCGATATCGAGGAAATAGAGAGGAATGAAAAAGAGATAATGCTAGAACTGGGAGAAACCACAGACGTGAAGAGAACATGTACCTTCAACGAGACATCAGTTCTGAGGAACAGTAATGTCGAGATGCCAAGGGACCGTGAAGAGAATGCAACATGCACGAATGGGGAAGAAAGTGAGAACAAATTAGTGCCCAAACCAACCACCTGCAATGAAACCAGTGAACTGAATGGTGCACTTACCTGTGGTGAGACACTGACCCCAAAGAATAACAATATTGGGATGCCAAGCGATTGCGGACGAATTCTAACCGAATGCAACAAAGGGAGTCACGACATCAAGGAAATTCCGGATGAGGCCCTAGAGGAAACAAAAGGAATTTGTCGAAGTGAATCTCCGGAAGGGTCAACAAAAGGCACAACTATAAGACCAATTAGTGAGAAATTAAGACCTACCAGCGAAAAGACACCAGCAGCGAGTGGTGATAACATCAAAGTGCCAAGTGATAGAATGAAAGTAGAGACACTTGAAGTTAGCAAGAAGAACGTCAACACTATGGAAGTTATGGGAGAGTCGGGAACCTCAGACCAACCAGGAGAGCACCATGAAAAGGAGGGAAGAAACGATCAATGAAAAGACAAGCTGCAAAATCCAGGAAACGAAGTAGCATCAGCCGCAAAGAACAATAATGCCGGAATGCCGATGAGTACGAACGTGGGAACACCGAGGAAATGGAGATTCCTTGTTCCGCTATCTATTTAACCATCCTGAAGGAAGTACCGACACCAGAAGAAGAGGAGAAGCATACCATTGGAGAACCAAAAACAGATATGGACAGCCTAACGGAGGAAGAACGAGAAGAAGTAATGAAACTCTTTGAGACGAAGAAAGAACTATTCGCAGGAAGTTTGAAGAAGCTTATCCAGACTGACGTGATCCAGCACGAAATCAATACCAGTGATGTGAAACCTATATAGCAAGTCCCTACAGGATGGCACCCGATGAACATGACTACATAAGGGACGAACTTACGAAGATGAAGAAGCAGGGACTTGTCGTGAAATCTAGAAGCCCATGGACTTCTCCGATTGTAATAGTGCTGAAGAAGAACGGTAAGCGACGTCTATGTATGAATTACAGAAAACTAAATGCAGTGATGAACAAGGACGCTTATCCCCTACCGAGGATCAACGACTTGATCGAAGCTCTTAAAAAAGCAACATGGTTTTCAAACCTCAATCTGGCCAGCGGATACTAGCAAGTCCGAGTTCACGAAAGGGATCACGAAAAAAAAAAACAGCCTTCGTAACTAAATTTGAAACATATGAGTTCCAGGTGATGCTGTTCGGGCTATGCAATGCTCTGGCTATATTCCAAAAATTGATGAACTGAGTGCTATATGACTATATTGGAAAATTTATAGCTGTTTATTTGGACAATATTATTGTGTACTTGCTGTCGTTCCCAGAACATATCAGTTACTTGACCTGTATTTTTAAAGAGTTGAGGCAGGCTTCGCTGAAGCTGAATGCAAAAAAATGCAAGTTCTTTTTACCAGAGGTGGAAGGAATGGCATCCAGCCAGACGAAAATAAAATCATAAAAGTGAGAAACTTCCCAACCCCAGGAAGTATGAGACAGCTGCAAAGCTTTATTGGTCTCGCTTCATACTACAGGAAGTTTATTCATGGGTTCACTACAATCACCAAGCCCCTACACCAACTGTTGGAAAAGAATGCAATATATGAGTAAGGAGACAAACAGCAGACGACATTTGAGTTACTAAAAACATACCTGACAACAGCCCCGATTCTGCAGTACCTGGATTTTAAAAGAACATTTTATTTATATACTGACGCATCTGGGACAGAACTGTAAGCAGTGTTGATGCAGATTGATAAGGCAAAAAGGGAATATGTGATCGCATACACCAGCAGGAGTTTGTCGAAAGCTAAGTGAAATTACGTAGCAACAAAGTAGGAATGCTTAGCGATAATATGGAGAGTTGAGTACTTCCACCATTATCTGGGTATAAAGCCGTTCATAGTAGTCACCGACCATGCTGCATTAAGATAGCTGGAGAATTAAAAACTGAAAGGTAGAAGGGCGCGATGAATCCTCTGCCTCCAACCATATAACTATACAATACTACACCGTGCTGGGAGAAAACATTCAAATGCCGATACCCTATTACGTTTACTTAAAAGGAAAGGGGGAAGTAGTGCTAGCAATAGAAAACCCGACCACACCAAATGAACGAAAGATTCACTTTATCGATACGACAACTTAAATGACCTTACAGAAACAAAAGAAGAACCAGGAGTTGACATTCAAGATAATGAGGACAGAGTGGTGATGGTACTGACTGGTGACATCATGACCGCAAGTTGTGATGATCCGGGAGGACCTAATAAAAAGGCAAATCGAGAGTTAGCCAGTGACAACCATGTGAAGAATAGCAAGGAAGAAATGAAAAATAATAACCTTGCAGAGATAAGAGAACTAAGAACTAATTCCTGAAACAATGAGGATGAAGTGATGAGAGTACTGACCGCTGACACCATAATTGTAAACTGTGATGGTTTGGGAGGATAGTGCAAAAGAGAAAATCAAGAATTAGTAATTGGTGATAAGAGGTACTGTGACACAAACGGACTTACTGATGGGAGATCTGATGCGAGTGGAAATAGATTGGGATGTTATGAGAATGGAGGGACAATAACTGATGACCCTCCTGATAAGGGTAAAATGGAGAATGAAATAAAGGGAGGAACGGTGATGATTAATGTGAGGAAATTATGGGCACCCGGATACGAAAAATAGTGGCAACAGACGAATATACTCAAGGAGTTAATGATAGCATACGTAGACGTCATTGCAAAACTAATATATTGCACAATGATAATTATTGTCATGACGGTTCTGATAACCAATGGAACTGTCTCAAAATCTGAGTGTGCGGGAATAATGCGACATATTGGTAACATTAGCAGGAAGGCCAGTTGATGCACAGAAGAATGGAAAGAAAGAGAGTACAAAAAGAAAACACAATGAAGGTTACAACCGACAAAGATACGTCATCAGGAAATTTTTTAGCAAAGATCTCTGAAGATCTTCGGGCGTAAACCTCCAGAGGACCTCCGTTGTCGTTAAAAGACTCTGGAGCGAAGGTTACTATATTAAACTCCAGAGATCTTCGATTTATTTTAATAATAATAAAAT